AATTTACATTATTTAATTTCATATTCTGTTCTTGTATCATATTCTATTGACATGTATATAGACTTTTTGCACTACTTTTTATTTAGTATTTTATTATATATGTTGTATTGTTGGAGGAGCTCAGGTCAGAAGAATGTCATTGCCCTCTCTACACTGTAGCTTTGTGCATATGACAATAAAACCTTTGAATCTTGAATCTATTAAACGCACCCATTTTAATGTCCTCATCTGTTCTTCCTCCTCAGGGGACATGTCTAACGCGCAGTGCATCCCCGCTCCTCTGGCCACTCCCATCCCGGTCAGCGATGACCCGTCGAGCCCCGAGGGGACGCCCTGCTCTGAGATGTCGGAGAGCCCCAGCAGCCAGGGCCTGCCCCCCATGCCCTACTCCGTGCCCGTGTCGGAGCGCATGGACGAGTGCAGCGTCATCAAGGACGAGCTCGACAGTCTGCTGGAGTGCATCCCAAAGAAAGTGAGTGAAGGAGCGATGAGCGTTAACTGAGGAGACAGAAATATACTATAAGGAAAACACAGACACTCGTCACCGAGGTCACAATATCAATCGATCCAGCAGAGCAATAGCCTATAGGCAAAACACAGAAGATCAACAAAAGATATGACATCAAATGAACTTACCAAAGCTGAAGTAGACGGTCAACTTCATTCATTTTCTTTCCGTTTTACTGATTTTAATCGCTATACGCTGCTCTCTCGTCTCCTCGTCACAACTACACGTACTTACAGCCAATCAGCTCTCTGAATGATGAGATGACGTTTTGGAGGGTATGCCAGCACTTTGCCCCACTGGTGATTTGTTTTTTTTGCCGCACACATTGAATAGAAAAATACTCTGAGCATGCGCACTGTAGTTTTTACAGCACCCATTCATTTAGATAGCAGAGAGGGGGGCTTGCCCCACATCGCTCCACAGGGCTCAATAGGCACAGTGTGGACACTAACTGGAAGAACGCAGACGAAAACGGCAATGTACAGACGAATCAGATGACTAAACATGATCTTAAAATATATTTTAAGATGCATTTTTTTGGAATTCTTATTTGAATGACTTTCTGCTGACACTAGGTGGGGCTGTCCCCCCTAATGACCAGTCGCCACTGATTATGTGCTATATATATAGATGCCGTTAATAACTGTGCAATATATACTTGGCTGCTAAATCTTCAGAACTGTTACAGGATGTGTTTTTTGTAAATTGTGTAACTTTTTTTGTATTATAATTTTTTTAAATTCTTTGAAGTTATTATTATTATTTTGTATCTTAAATATCTTTGTATGCACGCTTCTTAGGTAACATTAAGCTGTCTTTGGCTCTTTTCTGCTGGAACAATGTAAATGTCCCCTCTGTGGGACTAATAAAGGTATTCTGATTCTGATATTTCCCGACAGGATGGAACCGGTATATTTCCTTTTTCTAACTTCAAATGAAAGTCTTTTCCCGAAAGTAAAGCCTGCCTGTATTTCTCCTCTGCTCCAGAGTCCGGTCCAGGGTGCGATCCCCACTAACCTCCCCAACACGGCGACGGGTCTCCGGCCTCCTTACTCCCCGAGCCTCCCGGCCCCGTCCCCCCCGCTCCCCTCAGCCTTCTTCAGCTCCTCCCTCAGTGAGACGACGCCCCTGGAGCCCTTCACGCAGCTGGCCCAGCGGGACCAGGGCTCCACCCAGGCGCAGGACGCTCTGGGGAGCTTCCCCACGGGCGAGACGGACGCTGACGGGAACGTGGGAGTCTCCGCGGGCGGGCTGGACTCGCTGTCTGAGTACACTCTCCCTGGTGAGTCGAAATGAGCTGCAGTCTTGCACTTGGTTGTGTTGGCATGTTGGCTGAACAGGTTGACTGAGAGATCATTCACTTCTTTCACAAGAAATTCTGTATTTTATTTTATTTTTATATTTATTTTTATTGACATTTGGCAGCAAACAATTACAGTGTTTTTCCAAGACATAATAATTGTACATCTTACGTTTGTTTTTTCCGAAATGCCTTTTTCTGTTTTTATACAAAGATAAAATAAAAACAGTAAAAAGTACGAACATTAGGGAGCGATCAGGACTTCACAGTAAAATCATACGTTTGTACAAATAAAATCTGGCTGGCCTAAATCAGTCCACTTTCACTTTCTCCATCATGACACAAATAGTTCCATTTTGTGATTGAAATTCTGTATTTTAAAAGTATATTAAACATGGCATGTTTAGCATGGTGGTTCACTCACCAACAGTAAATACATTGGAGCAACACAGATACATTTACATTGCGAGTGACCCTCAAATGATTTTGAAGATTAAACAATTTTTTTAAGTACTGTAGTATCTTACACAGGGGGTCCGCGGGGTCTTAACAAGTATTACAAGTTGATAAATCAATTTAGCGAAAATTAAGGCTATTAAAAAGTATTAAAGGGCATTTTCCAAGGTGTTACATTTTGTAGCTTGTTTTCAATAAGTATATAAATGGTCCAGAGAGGTTGGTCTCTACAGTCTGCCTGAATGTAATCATGGCGTAGGTGTGTAGTGTGATTCTGTGTAGTTTATTGATGGCATCCCGTTGGGTTTGACGTCATCTGAACAGGACATCGCACGCTCACTGCTTGATAGCGCGCGAAGGTCCGTTTTACGCCGGTTGTTAAAGGTGACATGTCATGCTTTTCCGGTTAGTACCCGTCCCCTTGTGTGTTATGAAGGTTTTTATGCATGTAAACGGTGTGCAGAGTCAAAACCCTCAAAGTACACCCTGTAGCGAGTAAAACTCTAACACAGGAAAGACCTCCCCAAAACGCCTCGTTGGAGATACGCCACTGTCCATTTGATTCTTCCGGGTACATCATGATGTCATGTCGTCCCCGGAACGAAACGGACCAATCCGCGGAGCCGTTACGTTAAGCCCCCGCTGATTGGTCCAAATTGACCAATCCACGGACTTCCTCACACACTCAGTGCAGGCAGCTCTGCTGATTTCTCCTCCCTGGCTGCAGGCTGATAACAGACAGTTGGGATCGTGGCGAAATTCTCTCTGCAGACCCATTCTCTCTGCAGACCCGTTCTCTCTGCAGACCCGTTCTCTCTGCAGACCCATTCTCTCTGCAGACCCGTTCTCTCTGCAGACCCATTCTCTCTGCAGACCCATTCTCTCTACAGACCCATTCTCTCTGCAGACCCATTCTCTCTACAGACCCATTCTCTCTGCAGACCCGTTCTCTCTGCAGACCCATTCTCTCTACAGACCCATTCTCTCTGCAGACCCATTCTCTCTGCAGACCCATTCTCTCTGCAGACCCGTTCTCTCTACAGACCCATTCTCTCTGCAGACCCATTCTCTCTGCAGACCCATTCTCTCTGCAGACCCATTCTCTCTGCAGACCCATTCTCTCTGCAGACCCTTCTCTCTGCAGACCCATTCTCTCTGCAGACCCATTCTCTCTGCAGACCCGTTCTCTCTGCAGACCCATTCTCTCTACAGACCCATTCTCTCTGCAGACCCATTCTCTCTGCAGACCCATTCTCTCTGCAGACCCATTCTCTCTGCAGACCCATTCTCTCTGCAGACCCATTCTCTCTGCAGACCCATTCTCTCTGCAGACCCATTCTCTCTGCAGACCCATTCCTCTGCAGACCCATTCTCTCTGCAGACCCATTCTCTCTGCAGACCCATTCTCTCTGCAGACCCATTCTCTGCAGACCCATTCTCTCTGCAGACCCATTCTCTCTGCAGACCCATTCTCTCTACAGACCCATTCTCTGCAGACCCATTCTCTGCAGACCCAGTCTCTCTACAGACCCATTCTCTCTGCAGACCCATTCTCTCTGCAGACCCATTCTCTCTGCAGACCCATTCTCTCTGCAGACCCATTCTCTCTGCAGACCCGTTCTCTCTGCAGACCCATTCTCTCTGCAGACCCGTTCTCTCGCAGACCCATTCTCTCTGCAGACCCATTCTCTCTGCAGACCCATCTCTCTGCAGACCCATTCTCTCTGCAGACCCATTCTCTCTGCAGACCCATTCTCTCTGCAGACTCTAACAGACCCTTCTCTCTGCAGACCCAGTTCTCTCTGCAGACCCATTCTCTCTGTACAGACCCCATTCTCTCTGTAGACCCATTCTCTCTGCAGACCCATTCTCTCTGCAGACCATTCTTCTGCAGACCCGTTCTCTCTGCAGACCCGTTCTCTCTGCAGACCCATTCTCTCTGCAGACCCGTTCTCTCTGCAGGACCCATTCTCTCTGCAGACCCATTCTCTCTGCAGAACCCGTTCTCTCTGCGGACCCATTTCTCTCTGCAGACCCATTCCTCTTGCAGACCCGTCTCTCTGCAGCTCCCGTTCTCTCCTACAGACCCGTTCTCTCTGCAGACCCTTTCTCTCTGCAGACCCTTTTCTCTCTGCAGACCCGTTCTCTCTGCAGACCCGTTCTCTCTGCAGACCCGTTCTCTCTGCAGACCCATTCTCTCTACAGACCCGTTCTCTCTGCAGACCCATTCTCTCTGCAGACCCATCTCTCTGCAGACCCATTCTCTCTGCAGACCCATTCTCTCTACAGACCCATTCTCTCTACAGACCCATTCTCTCTACAGACCCATTCTCTCTGCAGACCCATTCTCTCTGCAGACCCATTCTCTCTACAGACCCATTCTCTCTACAGACCCATTCTCTCTACAGACCCATTCTCTCTACAGACCCATTCTCTCTACAGACCCATTCTCTCTACAGACCCATTCTCTCTGCAGACCCATTCTCTCTGCAGACCCGTTCTCTCTGCAGACCCATTCTCTCTACAGACCCATTCTCACAGCGTTTATCAACCTTTTTCTTACTCAATATCAAGCCACACTTATTGTTTTTACTTCGGCTGTGGCTTTGTGTGTGCTCAGGATGAGTTTGGCTGTGTTTCGCTAAACAAGGAAATCACACCTCCACGGAGCTCAGCGCGATTCACAACGTCCCGACTGGTCCCGACCAATCGGAGCACACTGGGCTCACAGGGAGGGGGGGGCAAGAGCTGCAACGAGCCGTTTAGTGGAGAGAGTGAATACACGTAGCTTACAGAGATGCTGTATGCGAAACAATGTGAGTTTGGAACATTGCACAGTATAAATCTATTCTAGTAGACCTCAACAATGGAATTATGATCAGTGGAAATGGCCATGACATGTGACCTTTAAACAACATCGTCATGGGGAAATGCAAGTCTGCGTCCAAATGGTTGGAAGATAAGGAGGAAGGACAATCAATACTGTATATAGTCAATGTGAGGTAAAGTGTGTCGCCAAGGTAACCGGTTAAAACTCCAAGTGGCGATGAGGTCTTAAAATGTATGAAAAAGCTCTTAAAAGGTCTTACATTCGACTTCAGGATTCCTGCTCACACCCTGTTGCACCGTTACTCAGATGTTCCTCTGGATGGATGTTTAGCTTTGTACGCAAAACTGTTGATAAAAAAAAAATGTATTGAGGAAAGATAAGCATGTTTAAATGTAAGACAGACAGAGCGACATTTTGTGTTCTAAAACAAGATTGTGTTTTAGCAATCAGGAACAACAGCCATAATTAAAAAAAAAAAAAATAAATCCACTCTTTTCTAACTGTGTGTGTGTGTGTGTGTGTGTGTGTGTGTGTGTGTGTGTGTGTGTGTGTGTGTGTGTGTGTGTGTGTGTGTGTGTGTGTGTGTGATGTGTGTGTGTGTGTGTGTGTGTGTGTGTGTGTGTGTGTGTGTGTGTGTGTGTGTGTGGTGTGTGTGTTGTGTGTGTGTGTGTGTGTGTGTGGTGTGTGTGTGTGTGTGTGTGTGTGTGTGTGTGTGGTGTGTGTGTGTGTTGTGTGTGTGTGTGTGTGTGTGTGTGTGTGTGTGTGTGTGTGTGTGTGTGTGTGTGTGTGTGTGTGTGTGTGTGTGTGTGTGTGCTTCCTTCAGGGGGACGAGTGTGTCACAGCTTCATCCCAGGGGTGCGCAACAACAGCGCTGTACATGCAGTGAGTAACACACACACACATTTGCAACAAACAGCTTTAACTGTTAATGGTGTTACTTTTGATTAATTGGCTTAATGTGACTGACTATGATGTGGCCCTTGGGCTTAATGTCCCCGTCTTCTTCTTCTGCAGAACGGTCCAGCAGGAACAAACCTGTCTCTGCTCTCCAGGAATCCTCTGGCTTCCACACACGAGTTTCGGCAGGCCTGTCACGCCTGTTACAGCAGAATCGGTTGGTTTAAGTTTCGGTTATTTTTCACAAATACTCACAATTGGATGTTGCCGCTTTGCCCTTTTCGTTAGCAACCCATGCTGTGTTATTATATGGGAAATTGAGTGGCAATCATTTATATACGCTGTCCCATACTGCCTAGTGTTGTCGTGTGCTGAAGCGCAATTATCCTTTCACATTACTGCTGTATATACAGTACTGTATTCACTGTATTTATTATTATCTGTGTATTTATTGTTATTTATACATTTCCCATCTATTTACCTTTATTTTGTACATACTTCTGATAATTGTGTATATAACTGACTGTTTTGCACTCTGGTTAGACCCTCCTTCATTTCGTTACACTGTGCTTGCATTTTGTAATGACAATAAAGTAATCTAATATTGAAAGAAAACTAATCGGAAACAATTTTGCTAATTTATTAATTGTTTATAAAAAATGGAGATGTCTTTCTTCTCTCCTTTTCAATTATTTTAAACAGATTAATTTTGGTTCTGTCGAAAAATAATTGATAATAAAAGTAATTGTTTCAGCCCTAATCAAACACTTAAGGGTTATTAAGTCATCATGGCCTCTCGAACTGATGTACAGAATGCATTTCATCCTAAAATTGGGGTTACAGGTTAATTTAACATCTACATTCCTTCTTCCTCTTGCACGCAGGTCCACGAGTTATGGACTACAAGTACCAGCCGGAGGCAGCACATCGTTGCAAGAGGGACGTGCTGCTCTGCCGCCTCAAAAACACAGACGACCCGACCTGGAAGAGGATCCGCCCTCGGCCCGCACGGAACAACTTCCTGGGGGCCTTCGTACTCTGTAAAGGTGTGTATTTTATTAATTAAGTACTTGATTAAGCTGGCAAGCACATCAGCTGCTGTCTAGAGAAAATGATCAGTTAGATAACAAACGTCCAGTAACACAATATTCGTATTAAAGGTATCAAAAATATTTTAATACTTGCAACTATGACATCTCCACCAAAGAGAGCGTCCTGTTCTGTGTGTAACCGACTCTTCTTATAGGAAGACAACAAAGCTTGTTTACATTTCAAACATCATTTGGGGCAGGTGCCGCCCTACGCCCTATGGCAGTAGGCAAAACTCATTGGATATGCAGATAACCCCTAGAGCAAATTGCTTCCTTTCATCCTATCTTCCTGTAGTGTCATAAAGCATCTGTTTTCACACATACATGGATATGCCATTCATAGGATACCACCCAATAAGAGAAACAGATTACAGTACCAATAGGCGCTTTCACACCAAGTACTTTGCCGTACTTAGTTCATCAGAACTATTTAGTTCTCATGAACTAAGTACAGATCGCGTTCACACCGCAATAAGTTCCCTGAGGGAGGATTAGGCAAATGAGCCACTGACGTCACTTGTTCTTCTTCTGCTTTGGGTTTACTGGCAGGCCGCAAACCACTTCACGGCGTATACTGCCGCCCAAAGTCCCCGGCCGGAAGTCCCCGGAGTTGGGGACTGGCTTCAGTAGAAGCTGCTGGGACTCCCAGCAGCTTCTACTGAAGCCTTCCGAGTAAATCGCCAGAACACCAACACCTCCTCATCTCCACCACTCCCATGTTTTCTTTTGTGTTGCCATACGTTAGTCTCTCTGCGTTGGTGCGCGGGGCTAATGCTAATAATGCTAATGCGAGCAAATAAAATGGCGGCTTCACAAAACTTTTTTGGAGTTTTACGGGGCGTGGTTTGCAATCCGCCCAGCCAATCAGACATAGGAACCTTTTTCTCCCACGAAAGTACCTGCTCTCTAGCAGGGACGGAAAAAGGTTCTCATGAACTAAGTTCTAGTTCCGGATTTGTTTGGTGTGAACGCACATTTTCAGAACTATACTGGGAAAAGTACTCCGGTGTGAAAGCGCCTAATGTTAATACATACAGTAATACATAGAGCTAAATGGAGTTTAAATACGGCCATTGATTGTGTTTATATTGTGTCAAACCTTGTTCCTGCCACAGAGGTGCTGGAGCGTCAGGAGTGCCAGTACGGAGAGAACTGCACGTTTGCTTACTGCCAGGAGGAGATCGACGTCTGGACGCAGGAGAGGAAGGGAGCGCTGAGCCGAGAGCTGCTGTTCGACCCTCTGGGCAGCACGGAGCGACGAGCGCTCAGCGTCACCAGACTGCTGCAGCTGCACATGGGCATGTTCATGTTCCTCTGTGAGGTGAGGCCATTATATTCTCATTATAAAGGTGGTTGCAGCTTCCTACCTTATTTTTCTTAAAGCCACCTTTTTAAAACAGACATTTTAAACACGTTATTTTGTTTTGATGTCTTGTTTGCCTTCTGATGATGTTATGCTGCTCGTGTGGATAATCTAAATCATATGATATTCCTTCTACACGCATTCAACATTTACAAGAGTCAAAACAAAGGATGGTTAACTCAACAAAAGATGGTGGGAAGTGTAGTCTTTTCTCTCATGGACTACAGACTAGGGTTGCAAAGGGGCGGAACATCTCCGGTACATCTCCATGGCAAGTTAAGCTGGGGAATTTTGGAAATATTCCATATTGGAATGAATGGGAACTAACTGGGAAGTGAGGGTAATCGAATTGTATCATATCCAAGCATAAATATAAACATTTAGTTTTGTCATAAGAAAACATCCATGCAAAATTATACAATTTAAAAAAAACATGACATTTCAACAGATTTATTTGTAAGTAGAACAGAACAAGTTTTAATTATTTTATTGAACAATCAAGAACATGAATGTTGAGTTAAATATGACTCATTCCTCATTGAAGAATGAACAAAGAGATGGGTGTGGTCTCAATAGCCATGCAGTCAGCGGTGTGCATGTGATTGAGGATCATGGATATTTTATTTTTATTTCTTTAGTCAATTTATTGAACATGTCAGAAACAAAACATACAATAATAATAATATATTCTTTTTTTTTTTCTCACTCATAATAATAATTCTAACAAAGTACAACAAAATAATAATACTAAATAATAATAATTCTCAAATAGTCCGTCATGTTCAACAGGGGCAAGAAGAAGCTTATAAAGACGTTTCTGGTCCTCTCCCCTCTAGCGTACATTTCCCTTATAAATAAAATATTAGGTCATCGTCATCAGTGACATGTTTGTCTTGTTAATTTGTTTGTTTTTTACAATGACCAGAAATAACAAATGGGATTGTACAGGTCCTGTTCATGACCATTCATGATTTGGCTCCTAAACAATACTTTCAGTTTAGATAGACTTGTGCATCATTAGTTATTCCACAGACCTTTTGATGAGATGCAATGAAGTTTGGCATTTGTTCGTACATATTCAAGTGTACTTGAATGGCACCTGTTTGTTTTAGTCAGATAGATTATGCTAAAATATACTTTCCCCAACTATAATAAGTTCCCTACAAAGAGCCAACCTTCAATTTAGAAAATTCCCAGTTTATTCCCATGGAAAGTTTCCATCTTTGAAAATTCCCAGAATTTTGCAACCCTACTACTTATTTGACCTTTTCATAAAATAAAAACTGGTTCTAACAAAGGTCTTCAATAAGTAAGCATGCACTGAGCCTGTTGCTCTTGCTAGAGATATTTATTTCAACTTTAAACAGTCTAGTCTTATCCAACACGTTATCTTTCTCTGTTTGAATAATTATGTCTATTTAATGTTTTTCTATTTTATTTTCTAAAATGGAGCTGTCACACAATCCAATTTCCCCCCTGAGATAAAAAATATAATTCTGATCTAAACTTATGTAAGCATATTTTTCCTTCCACAGGAATGTTTTGACAGTAAGCCTCGCATCATCAGTAAGCGCAGCAAAGAAAACTTAGCAGTCTGCTCGAACCTCACAGCTCGACACGCGTTCGACGACAACAAGTGAGTGTAAAGAAGTTTGGAAAAAAGTCAAAATCTCTTCATTTAGATCTTTAAATAGTGAGTCTTAATACATGTTGTCTGTTGGCTTGTATCATTTCTATAACTGTGTTTCTCTATCCTCTGCAGGTGCCTGGTGCACGTGGTGAGGTCGGCCAACGTGCGCTACAGTAAGGTGCGTCCGCTGCACCCGCTCTGTCAGTTCGATGTTTGTCGCCATGAGGTTCGATACGGCTGCCAGCGCGAGGACAGCTGCTCCTTCGCTCACTCCGTCATCGAGCTCAAATGCTGGGTCCTGCAGCAGGACACCGGTGGGTGGAACACACACACATCGGTTCTCTTCCCAACTGGAAATCATTTAAAAAACATATTTCATTTACAAAAACGTTCTTTATTTAAAGGTGGAGTAGGTCATTCACTTCAGAAACACTTTTTGTTATATTCCATGGAATATTCGTTGTGTCCAAACGGCGGTACTACACTTCCGTATCAGTCGCTGGGCCCGGAAATACTTTTTACCATTGACTAACATGGGGAAAGAGACGTCTGTAAATAACCCGCTTGTTGTTTCCACCCTAAGAATTTGGTCCCAATTCAGAAAGGCTCATGGACTCTGTGGATCCTCTATACATAGTCCCATGAGCGCACATACGGGTACTTCTGCTCTGACACAGCTAGGCATGATGGGTAATCTGTGACGTTTCGCTCTCTCAAAAGTTGGGCCATTTTGTCTTCATGCGCCAATGAGCAGCTCATAGGAAAGAACGAGACCCCGCCTCCCACGCTGTATCCAGTTGTTATTATACATCCATGGAGGAGACGTCTGTGGATAATTCTGACCCATCTTGAATGAAAAATAATAAACGTACTTTTGACTGCACTGATGGCAGTGGTGGTGAACAGACAACTCCAATGATTCAAAGCTGCACCACCAATATCCGTCTTTTACTTTTTGTTTTAAATTAGAGAGACCCCTAGACAGACATTTACATAATGTGTGCTTCTCTGTAATAATCCAGTACATAATGGTGATTAATAACAGAGGTCTTCCATATTCCTGAAGTTAAGCATTCCCAAATGTATGATGCATTTGATTATGAACAGCACACATAGTATCTAGTAAAGCAAGAAAAGGGATTTTTAATAAACCTGCTTTCTCAGGGGGTCCGCGGGGTCTTAAAAAGTATTAAAGTTGATAAATCAATTAGAGAAAATGAAGGCTATTAAAAAGTATAAACGGCATTTTCCAAGGTGTTACATTTTGTAGCTTGTTTTCAATAAGTATATAAATGGTCCAAAGAGGTTGTGTTCTACAGTCTGCCTGAATGTAATCATGGCGTAGGTGTGTAGTGTGATTCTGTGTAGTTTATTGATGGCATCCCGTTGGGTTTGACGTCATCTGAACAGGACATCGCACGCTCACTGCTTGATAGCGCGAAGGTCCGTTTACGCCGGTTGTTAAACAACATCGTTATGGGGAAATGCAAGTCTGCGTCCAAATGGTTGGAAGATAAGGAGGAAGGACAATCAATACTGTATATAGTAAAGTGTGTCGCCAATTGTAAGAGTCGGGAGGGCTGATAATTTATTCCGGGAAATTACTCAGACCTACTAATTGACCAAACAGAAGTTATTGAGTCTATGTAAGTTTACTGCTTGGCTCAGATCCACCAACGTCAGCAAGGTCTCGCCTCTATTAACTCCTGAAGAACCAGGTTCAATGAACTGCTGTTTCAATTCAGACGACCCGCTAAATGTGTTTAAGCGATCCCGAAGGATTTTGATATCAGTAATGAGGTGTGGCCCTACCTAAGTGTGAGTGTGGCAGGGTGCAATCTTACCTTTGAAGCAGGAGAGGAGAGCGCTGATGTCTTTTAAGTTGTCCCAATCCAAAAGGTGGGATCAGTTTATTTGAAGAAAAATTGGTCCACACTAATACAGGGTTTCTACCTTCTCTCTCTTTACAACATGACAATCCTACAAAACATATCATGCTGTGGTCATTTTCTAATATGCAACTTTAATTCACAGTTTTACATTTATTACATTAAATTGTAACTTCAACTGCCCAATTCAGTTGTGATATTTAAATCTCCCGATAGGATTTAGAGGCCTCCCCTCATAAAAGACCGGTGATAATAAAAACCACATTCAAACTTTCATTCACCAAATCAATTCACATCAATTCCATACCTATAGTCCGACAGGTGGCGGGCCTAACGTTCACAAACACATCAATTCATTCAACAAAGAAATTCGAGAGATATTTACCAAGTTTGAGGGAACCTTACCGAGAGCAAAAACACAGCTCTCTATGGAGAGAGTATACCAGGGGATCTCTCTCTCTCTCTCTCTCTCTCTCGCTCTCTCGCTCTCTCGCTCTCTCGCTCTCTCTCTCTCTCGCTCTCTCGCTCTCTCGCTCTCTCGCTCTCTCGCTCTCTCTCTCGCTCTCTCTCTCTCTCGCTCTCTCTCTCTGTGTGTCTGGGCATGGCCTCTGATGTACAGGACTGGACTTGCAAAATATTATTCTCGGCTATGGCACAAACACCTTTTTGGGGCCTCAGTGTATTTCTGCTTAAGTCAGGAGCTCCCCTCCCTGTGTACTGCTGTGAGGGAAGACGGAAGAAACTGTCTCTCCTCTCTTATCAGTGACACCCATAAACCACAACAGGCCTCACACTCAACTTAACAAACCACTTGTGTTTTGTTTATACTGTAAATATAGAAATTCATAAAATATGAAGCATTTTCATTGTGGAAGAATATATTAACTTATAACTAACTTTCGTTGTTAGTATTCAACCTAATATGGAGACCTCAACACAATGTAAGCGGTTAAAACTCAAAGTGGCGATGAGGTCTTAAAATGTATGGAAAGGGTCTTAAAAAAAAGGTCTTAAAATGTCTTACATTTGACTTCAGGATTCCTGCATACACCCTGATTCTAATATTTGTTGCTTCAGGTATCACACATGAAGAGATGGTGCAGGAGTCCAAGAGACACTGGCAGCGGCTGGAGCAGAACGCACAGAAGCAGCAGAAGGTGAGACAGGAAACCGCACTGATAGTTTGATATCTAAATCTTTCTCACAAATGCAGTATAGTATCTAGTGAGGCTGTCCAACAACATCATCTCGGACCCAAACCATGTTTTGAACAACGAGTATGAACTGCTACCATCTAATCAGAGAAACCGGGTCCCGCGATTTAATAAAGTCAGACTGAAGCATCCTTGGTGCTCCAGTCAATCCTCACAGTAAATACAGACACACTGAATCCAGATCAAATGCACGCTGAAGGCTCTTCGAGTGTTACACATGGAGCTGCTGCGAAGCAAGTCACATTTCAGACTTGATCTGACCATTAAAGAATAGAGTGACGCATCCTAAAACCTGGATGTAAACTCCTTCCGGTTCCTTCGACAAAAAGGCAATGGGATTTCTCCATAGGATTTTGGAAAATAGCTGGAACTAAGGTCTGTGGTTGAAACACATTTAAGAGATGGATCACATTTTGTTCAGCCGGATAATCTCCACATGTCTATCCTACTTTTATCATTTTCGAATCATAAATCTAGTCGCCAGAAGCAACATGCTAACGTTAGGCTATAAAGGAACTACAGCAGGGTCGCTGCTTCAACGTCACGCCAACTTCAGATCCATATTCAAACATACAGATTGTAAATGGAACGAGTTGAAGTGTTTGTTTGAACAGTTTGCAGGAGGCAGGGACTTGCTTTCAAGCAGAACAGGGCAAACAAACTTAGAGGAGTGTTTACGTGTTCGGTGTAATGACGTACAACGGCCTGGACAACTTCTGTAGTCCTATTCAGCCACTTGGTAACAACCATCGTTTTTCAGACACGTACACTCTTCAGAAATCACCAGCGGGGTCACTGCTGATGGATTTAATGTCGTAGAACAAACCGTGATCCGTCTCTTCAATGTGTCTCAACCACAGACCTTATTTCCAGATATTTTCCTAAACCCTTTGGAGAGATTGCATTGCTTTTTGTCGAAGGAACCGGAGGTGGTAAAATGCTAACTTCCGTGTTAGGACGCCTCACTGTGGCACTCTATTATCGTATCGTATAGCAGTTCCTCCTATTGTTGCCACGATACCCTAACTTTGAAAGAACACTTTGTGAAATGTGTTCAAGTAGTAGTTTTATCATCATAATCGATACTAATTTCTCTCTCCCTGTGTTTCAGCCCATCCACATCCCCCATCCGAGCAGCAGCATGCCTGCAGGAGGCCTGGGGGGAATGGGAGGTGGAGGGGATGGTATGGGTGGGGGGGGTGTGGGTCCTGTGGGGGGGTTAGGGGTGGGAGGGTTGGGAGCCGGAGGGGGGGAGAGGGCGACCCCTGAACCTGAAAATGAAGTTTGTGTGCGGACAGTGCTGGAGGGAGGGACAGGTCAACGAGCCAGACAAGAACCTCAAATACTGCACCGCTAAATCCCGGCACAGGTGAGGAGGAACACACACACACACACACACACACACTCACACACACACACACACACACACACACGACAAATGTGTTAAGTCACATGATATCGTTTCATCTCGTAGACAAAGAGAATCTGAACCTCAAGGGGTTTACTCCTGGTAAAACAAAATGTAGATATCAATCTGTTGCCCCTTAGTTTGAAGTAAATCAAAAATCTTATCATGACTTTAATATAGGCAAATATTGTTGTCTTGAACAATCTTTAACTGCTGTTGTTGTTGCTCTTTTTAAGGCCTAATGCTTGCTCCCTTTATTTAATTGGATCTCTGTCTCCTCAGCTGGACGAAGGAGCGTCGAGTCCTGCTGGTGAAATCCTTTGAGAAGAAGAAGTGGGTCGTCGTTCGGCCGCTGCCTTTCTCCCGCACCTATCCTCAGCAATACGACGTGAGTTTTTAAATGATGTCTGTCCCTCTCCAGCTTTCTCCTGCTCAGTACAGCCTTGGCCCTGGGGACAGCTGTTGTTGTAAATGTCTTTACCCCTGAGTCTTATTATCATTGTGCTGCCAGTGTGTTTTCATGTTGACACTGTGTCATATAACACAGCAATTCAACTCCTTAATAACCATGACTGTATTCCAGTTGTAGAAAAGGTGTTACATTACATTACATTACATTTAGCTGACGCTTTTATCCAAACCGACTTACAATAAGTGCATTCGACCAAGAAGATACAAACTTGAAGAAAACAGAATCATATAAGCGTGGGGGAAACTTCTGAAGCAATGGGAGTCAGGACTCAGAGAGACACGAGGAGAGCTGGAGCTTTGATGGCAAACACTGACGGTTTATTTGGAGCTTCGGCCGGAGAATTCACAAGACATGCCACGGGCCTGACCACACGGTTGAGATGCCACAATCAATTCTGAAGAGCCCTCCTGTAGCTCCAGGGTTTAACTAGAGAGTGTGATAATCAACATTCTTCAATAGATAGACTGAACAGCTGAGGACACTGAATCACAGTTGTTGTCGCTTATGGCTCGGGGTCATCTACACCCCGAGAAGGATGTGTTCCAGGTGTCCCACAGCAATAACTATCTCTGACCGAGAGTAGCCCGGTCACAAACTGGTAACAACAACTTGCTAGGGAAGCCCCTTCTTATGGGAGATGGCGGCTGCTCAGGGCTGGTCAGCTGCGTCAGAGGGCGAAGGAGGACATGCAGGGCAAATCATTCCCCAACAATAAGTACATCAGGTTTCATAGAGCCAAAACATTTCAAGTGCTATTCAACTGGCTTTAGATAAGCCAGTCCTTTGTTAGTATATAAGTGCTTTGTTAGTAATTGTATTGCTCATGATCAATATAATGTATCCAACTCTTACTGTTTACAAGTGATTGCAACCCTAGTTTTCAACAGTAAGATTTTGGACCATCCCTCCAATCAAAAGACTCTGTTGTAATACTGACATTAACACTCTCCCTTTGCCTCGTGCAGATGTGTGTGCACGTGATGAAGCAGAAGAAGTGCCACTACATCGGGAACTGCTCGTTCGCTCACAGTCTGGAGGAGAGGGACGTGTGGACGTACATGAAGAACAACAGCTGTAGGAACCTTCCAGAATCAATGCATTTAGAGCTCAGACATAGATTGAGTCATGTTACCCCAGTAATAACTTTGAACCCCACTATAGTCAGGATATAGGAAATTGATTGCCTACCGCAATTACTCCCACTGATTGTTGTTCTGCTTGACATTCAATCTCACTGAGGTCATCTTCTCTTTCTTTCTCACCTCCACAGTGAGAGACATGCAACAGATGTACGAACTGTGGTTGCAGCTAACCAATCAGAGCCGGCGCAGCGACATCTCCACGGTGACGCCGTCCCCAGAGGACAAGCAGGTCACCATAACAGCAGATTACACAGAAAGCATGGTGAGTTTAACATTATCGTGATTAAAATGGCTGTCCCTCTTTCCAGGGGTTTTGGGATCAAGTGATTGTGGCATTTTAGTTTTCTCTACCGATGGATGAGGACAATCTGATGATGTTGAGTTATAGAACTGTTTGCATGTGTTCAACCCTGGTATTTCTGCACGGCTGCACATCGTCACTTCACTTATTTGATAGGTATTAAACCATAAAGAGAATTAGTTTCAAACCATTTTTTCACTGCAGTGAGTAAACTACTTGCTCTCCTGCTTTATGCACCCTCAGGGAGGCATTCACGGACAAATTATTTTAATTGAAGGAAGTTGATTCAATAAAAACAGAACAACTAACAAATGAAATCCAATTAGTCACCTTGATATTGAGGATTTTGACCCCATTTACACGCATACGAAACGCAAACGAACCGTATCAAAATATCAAAAAAGTCTTCCGTTCACACGAGACGGCTCGGGAGCGCTGGAGACGCTGTAGTACATATGCCGGGCCTGTAAGTGGCGCTGTACTTCCGCCACAAAATACACCAAAAGCAGCGAAGAAGACCCCCGAGCATGGTTGTCATGGTTGCCCTTCTGTTTATGCCCCGCGGTGGATGTAGCAACATGTAGCAACATGTAGTTCTCCATGTCCACTTGTTGCTGATGGTTGTGGTAGAGGAGCTGTAGATTTTGCACTAACATCTGTAGCATGGTCAGTAGCAGTAGCAGTAGCTACTGACAACACTAGTAGCAGTAGCTATTAGTGTTGTCACGATACCAACATGTTGGTTTCGATACCGATACCAAGTCAAGAATTGCGATTCCGATTCCAGTCTTAAATGTAATTATTGTGCTTTATTTCACACCAGAACCATAACACAAACTTTTAAACAATGAGAACAATAAACAAAATAAATGACAATAATTCGTATTAAATAAAATTAAGCATCATCTCAAACAACTTTTTTGTTTTATAAAATATAATTTTTTTTATATTTTATTAACATTTAATAACAGTAATATAAATAATTATTGACAAAATGTATATTGCAGATGTTAGCCACATTGGTAAGTTAGCTAAAAATGTATCATTGCCATTAATTGCCTCGTTTGTCACAAAATAAATTACACTGGTTTGACTTAGATTTGAGGGCATGGGCTTGAGCATGATGTAATTATGTTATCTATCACATTCGCTAACCTGTCTGGATGCCGGTTGGCGAGGTGCTTAGCCAAGTTTGATGTGTTGGCTCCCTTGGTTTGCAGGGATCTGAAACATTTCTCACAGACAGGCCTCGTGGTGTCCGTAGGCTTGCCCTCACTGTCAGAGATATCGCTCAAATACTTCCAAATTTCGCTTCTGCCGTCTTTTTTGTCAACAAGCCGAGGCGCAGCGGCAGTTGCACTCCCACTTGCAGCCATGCTTCTCGTTTTCTCACATGCTCTGGCAGCTAGCGCGTGGCCGAGTGCACGAGAGAGGGGAGGGACTTAGAGCGTGCTTGAGAGGGGAGGGGCTGCAGGCACGGCTGCAGTGCAGGGAGTGGAAGCAGAGCGCTGAACACACACGGCTCTTATTAAAACAGCGCTTTCTCACCGGAGTACTTTTCCCCGTCATTCTTAAAGTACCGATACAAATGAAACGGAGGAATCGTACCGTTTTTAACGGCAGGGTATCGCGGTACCTTTCAAGTATCGGTACACCGTGCAACACTAGTGGCTACTGACCATGCTACAGCAGTGAGCAGCAGAGGTGGGGAGAGGCGGGGCTATGGCTTCATCGTTATCAGGAAATTATCGTATAGGACGTACACACTGAGCCGTTGGGCCCCCCAGAGCGTTCCGTCCGCAGATCTATCCACCTTGGGACCCGTTATCGTTTGAGGGCTCCGTTTCCGCGTTTCTGTTACGGCCTCGTGTGAACGAACGGGCTATACGCGAGAGAAAAGTAGCGGATACAACCGTTTGCGTTCTCGTGTAAACAGCGCCTTAGTTTGAGGTTTTTCTGAGTTTTTCTCCCAAATATGACGACATTCAAAGCTTAGAAAACCTCAATACAAAATGTTGCATGTAACAAACATTATTTGTATCGCATCTTTCAACCACGGTTTCAGACTTCTTTCCAATAAAAAACACAAAGTGAATTTTTAAAAAGTGATTTAAGAGGGCTTTTAATCCTGGTCTCAGACCGGTCGTTCAGAAAACCTCAGAAATGTGTTGCCTCCATTTGCCTAGTTAGCATTATTGTTATTGTTGGGGAAACATTTCCCAAGGGCCATAACTGTGACCCAGTTGATCACATCATTCTGTCCTGACTGAGCACACGCACCTGTAACCTTGGCTGCTGTGCTCTGTGTTTTGTCTCCCTGTTCCTGCCTGCTGGCGTCAGCTCATAGAGGTGTTATCATTCTATCTTGTTATGCACAATGTTGATTACTCTAATCCAATCCAATCCACTTTATTTATATAGCCCATATTAAAAACAGAGGGTTTTACCGAAAGTGCTTCACAGCAAACATAACATAATAAAATATAATATTACAATAATAGATAAAAGGCACACGTACAAATAGATAAAAGGTACACAAAGGCTGTGGACAGACAATGAAAGCATACAAATCGATAAAACAGCTCAAACTGACTCGAAAGCGACGGAAAGAGTTGGGTCTTCAGGCGGGGGCGACAATTTGACATGAGGGGGTCAGGTCGTTCCAGAGCCTGGGGGCTACCGCTGAGAAGGCTCGGTCTTCCCTGGTCTTTTTCTTGGTTTTAGGGACTACCAGCCGCAGCTGATCAGCCGACCTCAAAGCCCTTGAGGGGGTGTACACCTTTAGGAGGTCGGAGATGCACTGAGGGGCCAGCCCATTAAGCGATTTAAAAACAAACAATAAAATCTTAAAATGAACTCTAAAATGAGGGTCTAAGGACAGAGGGTGTCGTTTTCTCATACTGATATTCTGCACAAACTGTGCTGTTGTAAAGTGTCCTTATTGCAAAGTATTTTCACTGTATGTACAGCACTTTGGCTCGACCAAAAATCGTTTTAAAAATGTGCTATATAAATAAAACTTGATTTGATTTAAAATGGACAGGAAGCCAGTGGAGGGAAGCCACAATAGGTGTGATGTGCGTGTTCCTGTAAGCAGCCGAGCCGCAGCGTTTTGTACCAGCTGCAGGCGTGCCAGCGAGGTCTTGTTTAGGCCGGCATAAAGTGCATTACAGTAATCAAGACACGTCGAAACAAAAGGCATGAATTACACGCTCAAAGTCTAAAAAGGATAAAACCGGTTACATTTTGGACAGGAGCCTCAAGTGATAAAAACTGGACTTAACCACAGAGTTTGTCTGTTTATCCAATTTAAAAGCACTGTCGATTTTGACGCCCAGATTTGTGACCATGGGTTTTGCATACGGTTGCAGGGAACCCAGGTCAATGGAAGGGACATCACCATTTCTCTCAGAACTAGCTAAATACATGAGTCTGGGGTATAGAGTTCTTCAGAATCGATTGTGGCATCTCAACTCGTGGCCCGTGACATGTCTCGTGAATTCTCCGGCCGAAGCTCCAAATAAACCGTCAGTGTTTGCCATCAAAGCTCCAGCTCTCCGTCGTGTCTCTCTTAATGCCCCTTTCACACCAACTCGTTTCCAGCTCCGGCTCGGAGCTGGAGCCTGAAAAGTTTTTTCCTGTTCACACCGCAGAGGCGCCGCCTCTTAGCTCCGGAATCCGGTTCACTTCCAGCTCCAAAAAATTGTCGGTCTAGAGGCAAGAGCTTCGGAGCTAAGAGGCGGCGTCGCTTACGTCGAGGCGGGGGCAGATTCGTCGTTGATGCTGAAGACCACAAAGAAGTCTTGCATTTCGCATGGGATGTTTGTAAAGTTCCAAGTAAAGTCGTCCCTTGTAAAGTCGTCCGATGCCTTCCATGTCGTTTCGTAAGAGGATAACCAAAGCGAACAGCGCTTCAATACAATCGGCCATTGTTGTTGTTGTCGATGTGAGGGATTTCCGCGGTTTGGATTTTATGAAGCAGGCACGTAAACGGTGACGTCATGACGCAGCAGCGGCAGCTCTGGGCGGTGTGAACAGAGCGGGAGCAGAAAAGGAAAACCGGAGCTGAACCAGAAAAGCTCCCGCTCGGAGCTAGAAAGGGAAAAGCGCTGGTGTGAAAGCCGCATTTGAGTCCTGACTCCATCAAAGCTCCAGCTCTCCTCGTGTCTCTCTGAGTCCTGACTCCATCAAAGCTCCAGCTCTCCTCGTGTCTCTCTGAGTCCTGACTCCATCAAAGCTCCAGCTCTCCTCGTGTCTCTGAGTCCTGACTCCATCAGAGCTCCAGCTCTCCTCGTGTCTCTCTGAGTCCTGACTCCATCAGAGCTCCAGCTCTCCTCGTGTCTCTCTGAGTCCTGACTCCATCAAAGCTCCAGCTCTCCTCGTGTCTCTCTGAGTCCTGACTCCATCAGAGCTCCATCTCTCCTCGTGTCTCTCTTTGAGTCCTGACTCCATCAAAGCTCCAGCTCTCCTCGTGTCTCTCTGAGTCCTGACTCCATCAGAGCTCCAGCTCTCCTCGTGTCTCTCTCTGAGTCCTGACTCCCATCAAAGCTCCAGCTCTCCTCTGTGTCTCTCTGAGTCCTGACTCCATCAAAGCCTCCAGCTCTCCTCGTGTCTCTCTGAGTCCTGACTCCATCAAAAGCTCCAGCTCTCCTCGTGTCTCTCTGAGTCTTGACTCCATCAAAGCTCCAGCTCTCCTCGTGTCTCTCTGAGTCCTGACTCCATCAAAGCTCCAGCTCTCCTCGTGTCTCTGAGTCCTGACTCCATCAGAGCTCCAGCTCTCCTCGTGTCTCTCTGAGTCCTGACTCCATCAGAGCTCCAGCTCTCCTCGTGTCTCTCTGAGTCCTGACTCCATCAAAGCTCCAGCTCTCCCGTGTCTCTCTGAGTCCTGACTCCATCAAAGCTTCCAGCTCTCCTCGTGTCTCTCTGAGTCCTGACTCCTATGCTTCAGAAGTTTCCCCCACAGTTTATTATGTGATGTGTGTTTTGTTCAGGGCGGCCGGCGGATGTCAGATGGCGACGACCCTCTGAGTGTTCTGCAGACCTCCTCTAACATCGAGTGTGAGAACAGATGGACACACACACCACAAAATGGTTGACCCCCCCCCCCAACAATATACAACACACACACACTTTCACACCAATCACAGGCACCGCTTAACACACAGAGAAAGCTCTGGCTTCAGCGTTGTGTTTTAATATCTGCAGTTACACACGGCATCCTTTAGGTTCCCCTTCAGCAGATTATACCGCAGAAACTCCACAGACAACTCTGACTAAAACATGATCCGCAGCGCTCTTTGGGATGTGTGTGTCCACCAGATACCGCTTTTCTTATTCTTTCTTCCTCGCAGCACTGAAAAAACGCGTATTGGGTGGGCGCGCTGGTCGCAGCTCTTAAATGTAGCTTGGTGATTAATTTAAACCAGAATTAAAAGCGCTAAAAGTTCAAATCGTAACTTTGCAGTGCCAAAAAAAAGCCAAGCCCATAACGCTGAAGAAGAATAAAGAGATGTTCAAAGAGGGTCTCGGTGGACACAACCAAAACCCTCTTTTCCTTCCTTCACGGGAGCATTACTAGAGGGTCAAAATAACTGAGCGCATTTGTCTTTTTCCTCCAAGGGGAGTTGTACTTCCTTGTTGTATTGTCTGCCATATTGGTAGAAAGCAATGAATGTAAACTAGGGAAATTAGTCATTGAAATTGTTGCTGTGGTTGTGGAATGTATGCCAGTATATGCCCCAGAAAACATGCCCCTATATAGATATAAGAAGGCTTCCTGATAGGTAGTTATGTTATAAAACACACGGACACATAAGCAGTGAATGTGTGGAAACTATACATGTTGCTGGAGTACACATGGCTTATAGCTCATAGTAGCTAAAGCGTCCATTATGTACTTTAACGTAAAGCACACCGCAGATGCCCATTAAGAAACGATGACCCTAATGATACTGAATAATAGTGAGATGAATTATGTGATGAAAAAATACGAGTTTGTAATAGTTAAATAAGCGAAACATATATAATTTAAATAGCTGAGAGGAGATGAGTTGCAGGAATATTAAGAATGTATATTTTCGATGGTTGATTGTAAGAATAGAGTAAGGCTCTCTCAGTTAAATTGGGGTCATTATTTCACCGAAAAACCAATCATGCCCCTGCAGCCTTCAAAAGGAAACCCTGTTTTCCTCATATTTCCATGTGTTATGTTCCTGATAGCTATAAGTAGCTCCTAATATTAACCTTTTATTCATGGGAAATCATTCTCACCATGTAATGTGCCTATAAACACACACACACACACACACACTGACACACACACTCACTCACACAGGCAGGATATTGGTTGCCATGATGGATCTAATCACACACACACACACACACACACACACACACACACACACACACACACCACTCACCACACAGGCAGGATATTGGTTGCCATGATGGATCTATATTCACACACACCACACACCCTCACTCACACAGGCAGGATATTGGTTGCCATGATGGATCTATATTCAGATACACACATATTATACATATTTAATGCTATACTACTAATAATTGATAACTTAGCGGTTAAGCTTAATAATATATAACCTGAAACCTGTATTGATTACATAGAAGAACTTCTTGTTATTGAGGTATTGCTATATGACCTGTAACGCTGAACTAGATGACTATAGTGACTTTTATTTTATAATTATCTTTATTTTAGTCATTCTTTTCCTTCTGTGCGGGTTGTTCCAGACGGGGTTTGGTTAACGGGGGTTGAAGCAGAGATTACGTTTAATTAATTACGAAATTACGTTTTTTATTTGTTCACATTTTCTGCAGCTAAACTGGACGCACGTCATTTGAGAGTGTCGGTTAAACGTAAGAGAATCTGCTTTTCAATTCAATTTCACTTTGCAAAAAATCCACAAATGGCTTCAATTTCGTGAAAATGATTTAAAATTGGAGAAAAATGTGAAGTAAAGAAAAGACGTTTTAGCATAAGAATTAATGTTACATTTCATTTTCTCTGGATAAATACAAAATAAAGGAATCATGTAACACTCAAAGCTGCAGTGTCCTAGTTACCCCACTCTTAAAAGCTGACTTAATGCCCAAAATCGTATTCTCCTAAAACGTCAGATCTGAGGTCAGTTTTCCCTGCACTTTTGTTGTTTAATTGTTGCTAACGAGCCCGCTCTGGAACAACCCCTGATATTAGCTTCTTGGAGGCATCGTATTACTACTACTCCTAGTATTATGGAATATGATGACGATAATGATTGCTATCTATTTCTATTTCTTCTCTATATATGCTATTGATATATGTATGTTAATTGCAATGTATAACTCTCTTTATATATGTATCCATGTATGATATAATAATTAACAGTGAATATGTATGCGCAGGGAGGCAGTGAGCAGAAAGGTAAATGTGAGGACTTTTCACTCGGTATATATTAATGTTGTCTGAGCTCTGTTTGTAAGCCTTAAGATTATTTGGGGCGCTGGCCAGAGATTAAAAAAAAGGACTTTACAGAATATAATAACGCGTTTCTCGCTCACTGCCCATTGCTGTGCGTTCTTGTTTCAAATTCATCAGGCAAAGACGATATGGAAAACAAATACATAGTAGCCTATATATACTCCCATATAGCGCCTTATTCGATATATAAGATGATACATACCCCCTATTGTATAATCCTGCTTACTATATACAGTATATAATACCTGATACCTATTATAATACTTAGACGCCCTTATAAGGTAATTAGATAAGAGATGGTGGAGATGTTTATTTTTCTGTGGCTGTGGAAGAGTGTTTTTAAGAACACGCACACTCCAATGCTCTTTTACCCTTCAATCATTATTTCAGGATATTCAAAAAGCAGCTCGGATCTGACGCGGTCTGAAAACGATGGTAAACGACCGACAAGTTGGTCTTTATTTTTAAATTTGATTTGGGGATCTTCTGTGTGTTGAGAAAGACACAGAAGATTCACACAGGACAAATCACTGTGAATCTTCTCCTGCATTGTTCTGTGTTTGGTAAGAAAAGGTGAATTATGACACAAACTAAAGGGGAGGAAGATTTCTGATACATAAAATGCACATAATAAATCTCACGTGATATCTTTACACATTACCTCCTTGGTTTTGACTTGAGGGATTATCAATGACAGACTTGGTTAATTGCCATGTT